AAGTGAATATAGATATTATGGTATATCTACAATATCTTAATAAGTGAACAGAAACGCGAGATATGATCAATTTAATTTTTTTTAATTTGGAATTATAACAAGAAGTGACCATAACACATTAAAAGATAATACAACATACATAAAAGTATTTTAGATATTTAGAATTTTATTGCTACAAACAAATTTTATTATTGCTTACCTATAAGAAATTGTTTAGTATTTATTTTGTAGCTCTTTCCAAATTTATTTGTATCAGTGTAGTTTCATCATTTTATGTTGTGTAATTAATGTTAACGAACAGGAAATCTTCAGTGAGTTGAAAACTTTTACTTAAAAGCCCAAAGTAGATTTACATAATAAATATTTAAAATTTTTGGTTTTTTTCTTAATTTTTTAATTTTTAACTATTGTTTTTGTTATACAAGATCCTGTAATTTGATTGGTTAATATATGCAAGTTACGTAACCAGGAGGAAAGTTAGCAACATCCTAAAATTTTATAATTACATCTGTTTTATGTAAAACAAACTGTGATTATAGAGAAAGATGACTATATTTCAAATTATTTATTTTTTATTTTTTATTTTTTTATTTTTTTTATAGATTAATATATTTGTAGCCATGGCTTTTTTATAGCTATTTTTTTTAAAATTTGACAATAACAGAAAATTTTGATTATGAAACCATTTTTTGTATTCTAATAAAAAAGATTTCTTGCTAAATTTTACTATAAGCCAAGTGCTTCTTTAACCTAACCCTAATCTTACTAATTCTAACCCTAACTTTAACTATGAGGTTTTATTTTTATAAAAAAATTAGTTAATAGTTATTTTATATCTAATTTTAGTATGGCTATAAATATATTAATCCTTTTTTTTATTTTTTATTTCTATTTTTTTTGAGAATTTTAAGAACATAAATTCAATTTGCATTAAATTTGGCAACGATCCAGTCTGATGACTAAACAAGTTAAAGTCTTTATAGCTGTTTTATAAACTCTAAAAACTAATAAAAATTGATCGATAATATATTTGAACTTGGTATTATTAGCATTAATAACCTATATGTTTAGCAATTTTCCAAATTCAAAACTAAATTGGCTCGCAAAAACGTAATGATCTCTCGCAGTATAGGTGTGACCCTACTTTATAACCAATTGATTAATAATACATTAGAGGAACCACTTATACTGCAAGAACACCCTTATAATTTATTGTATTTTAAGAAATTATGTACAGTAAGACACCCTAAATGCACAAGCCACCCTAAATATGTCTTTACCTGGGCCTAACTAACATAATACTTATAGATTTTTTATCTTTTTTCTTTATAAATGCACGTTTAACCAAATTTTACATAAGGTGGTCTGACCTGTAGAATTCAAAAAAGGAAATTATAACAATAATTACTAATCATTTTCATTGTTAAAATTTCCTTTTTTGAATTCTACCGCCATCTATAGTCTGACCGTATTATATTTATGAAGATTCTTACCACCAGTTCTAATTTAGCAAAAATTAGTTGGAATCTAGTTATGAACTTAATAATGAAATTATAACCACACTAAGAGTATACAGTATAAAGAAATAAATTATTTTTTAATTTTATTTTTATTATTTTTTTCTTTGTCCTTTTTAGAGATACCCTTCTCACCTCCCCCGCCATTTTTGGATTTTGTAGAATTTACATTATTATTAGTTCCGACCAACTTTCCAGTTTTTAACCATGTCTCGTAAGCTTGATATCTACTCTTTGCCGCGCTATAATTTGCATGATCTGACCCTACAGCTTGTAATATAGCATATTTCTTTGGTATATCTAAACATTCTTCATATACTTTTTCATCTGGCAC